AAAAATGTTTTCTTTTACTTCTACTTCTTCTTCCTCCTCCTCATCCCCTTTCTATCAGTAAAGAAGTCTTGTGATGGGAAAATTGTTCACGCTTACTATAAAGAACTAACTTCAGAGTTGAGGCTTTTTTTTATTATTTTTTTGAAGAATTTCTTGGCACTTTTCCTTTAGGATATATTTTAAATTCTGAACATTTGTCCTTTGAAAAGTAAATGAAAATTTTGTGGTCAGAATTTATAATATATATAAAAAAAATATAAATTTTAACTTAAACTTCCCCAAAAAATAAAATAAAAAATAAATAAATAAACTATTATTATTAAGTTATTTATCCATTTAGAAACAATGATTTCAAAGAAATTTAATTTTTTTTTGCAATTCTACGATGTTAATTTTATATAATAGAATCCAGCTTAAATTTTGTATTTCTTTTAAAAAAATACAAAAGGAAAAAAACACAAAAAATAAATTGAAAAATCAAATAATAGAAGAAAAAATAAAATAAATAAATATTAAATTACATCAAAAAATTTTTGACTTTTGCCATTTAATCTTTACTTTTTTTGACTTTTTCTTTTTTAAAAAAAAGATATTGGATAACGTTTAGTTACATTTCTGATATAGAATTAGTCAATAAAAACTTTAGAAAATTTCTGTTTGGAGTGACAAACAAAATTCTTGTTGAGTCCGAAAGAAGAAAAGAAAATATTAGAATAAAAAAATATTAAAAAATGTATATATAGAAAATAATAAAGAAAAATTGAATAGATGGGAATCATTTATCATAGACGTGCATCAAAACTGAATGCAGAGGGGAGGAAATATGGTAAACCTTACACTTTGGAAATATACCATAATTTGTATTCAAGATACTACAATTTCGTTTAGATTTCGAGGAAAAAAAAACAGTGTTTTATAGCAGAAAAAGAATTTCTTTTCTTGTAAAAAGTAAACTAATATTCTAAAATTCTTACAAATATTTCATTTCTTATTAATCTGCTTATTTTATTTTTTATAATTTAAGTAAATTGTTTGCATCTTCTATACTTGACCATTTACACTTTTAAAAGACATGCACAATTTGACCAATTTCATTTGGTTTGAGGAGGAGGAGGAGCTTGTTTTTTTTACAAGAAAAAGTACTTTTTTTGGTCGAAAACAAAGTAATATCTTTAAATTGTTACAAATATTCCACATATTAATCTAATTTACATTGTTTCTATACAATTTAATTGCTCGTGTTTGCTATATTTGAGCACTTGTATATAAAATAAGGTAATTTATTTATTGCTTGCTTTNAAAACATGTTAAAACGGAATTCTGTAGCGAAAGATGAAAAATAAATATCACAAATCACAGGAAATGAACAGTCAAAAAATTTATAATGTATATATACGTGGTATATATACAGTATATATAGGCTCATACATCGTAATAAATTTTTAACTGTTCATTTTCTGTGATTTATATAGATAAATAAATAAATCTAATAATTTATAATTTATATGTGCATTTAGTATGAAGTGTTTTAACGCACTTCACAAATACAGAACGGACGCAGTGCTATTATGAAATTGTTAATTTGAGGAATATATATATATATATATATAAAGAAATTTTTCAATTTACTGAAGAGGAATAGAATCTTCTTTGTTTCCACTTCTTACGTGGATAATCTTATTAGAATCATGAGCATGAAATTTTTTTAAAATAATTTAATATATTTTCCAACATTTCATTATTCTTTTATTTTTCATAAAAATGTAATAAATTTTATTAGTTTTTTTTTCCAATAAAAAAAAACACGCGGGAGAAATTATATATATACTTTCAAACCGATATATCGAGGTGTTTTTAGCAAAAGGACAACGTTATATCGGTTTAAATTATTGATAAATACGTTTTAAAAAGGTAAATAGAATATTTTTATAAATAAAAAAAATGCATTTTTGTCATTTGAAATATGTTCCTTTTCCTGTTAATATCGAACATTTTTACAAAAGGATACGTTTAATTTATCAAATTTCAAGTTAAAATACGGAAAATTTGAAAGAAATTTACTATCAGATTTATAGTCAAAAAGTTAAAATATAGTTTAAAGATTTATTTTATATTATATAAGTAAAATAAAAAGCAATTTTTCCTTATAAATTATCAACTTACATTGAACGTCGAGTTTGATTGTATCCTCTATACTGCTGTGTTCTATCAATGGATTGTCCGCTTTGCACACTAATTTTTTGCCCGTGTCAGCTATGGTGGGTACAAATGACATCACACTCACTGTTGTATTCAATTCTGGCATGACACTGCTTTTTGTTTCTGTCATTTCCGTGGTTCCTTTGTACCAACTGATTACAGCTGGCGGTCGAGAGCCTGTTGACTTGCAATGGAACTCTGCTTGACGTTGGGCAGAAAGAGATTGACCTCGTTCTTCAATCTTAACATCTAATGGTGGATCTGGAATCGATATCGATTATATATATTTTTAATTGAGTTATAAATAAAAAGGGATGGTATAAAATATAAAAAATTGATCTGGAAGTTCCAGTTGGAATGCTTGGATTCCTGTACAAGATCTTCAAGAGATGATAGTATTGTAGTTACTGAAGTTAGAGAAGTGTAAGAGTGGGGATAAAAGAAAATTGGACACATTATTGATAAAGAAACCTTATAAAAGATAGTTTTCTTATAAAATAAAAAAAAAATGGAGGAAAAGGCAACGAAATAAAGTAGTAGCCTAATGGATGAACTAATGGAAGATGAAAGCTATTGGAGTTTTAAACAAAGGATAAAACTCGTAAATTACTCTAACGTTTTTAACGGAAAAAGGGGGTTTAAATGATGATAATGATGTTAAAATTAAGTATTATTAATTTGTTTAAAATGAATTAAGTCAGTTATTATTTTTATTAATCAGTAATGTTTAAAAATCACATTAGCTTCAAGCTTATCTTCGATTGCAGTTATACTAGGCAGTAAGGGGGAAAAATTCCAAATTTCGTATTAAATAATATTAAATCTTTAATTAGATAACATTCAGATATTTTTTTTAAATGTGTAGTATGAAATAATATTCAGAAAATGAAATTAATTTATCGATCAAGCACTTCAAAATGTCAATGTTCTTTTTTAGAAATACACGTAAAAAAAGGAAATTTCATAATTAATTCCTTAACAAAAACAGCAAAATACTTTTTAATCTATATATATATATAAATGCCTTTTTAAATTATAAATTATTAAAATATAAACAATTCTCTCCAAAATAATGCTTTACTCTCTAAATTTACGCAGATTTAATTTGTAGACGTTTTAAAGTTTAGAAAAGACGTAATGATAATTAATTTTAAGTGTGTTCAATGGCATAAAAATAATTAAAAGTTCAAAGAACTCTTAACGGTTATTAGGAAAATGTGTGAACTAAACATTAAAATTCTAAAATATAATTCTTTAGTTGCCATAAAAAAATTTTAGTTCAAGCGTCATTGAAGCGTCGTTAGTGTACATTTAGGATGCAATATAGTAAGTAGAAGCAGTAACCATAATAATTAAAATGAAAGTTATAGGAGGGACAGTGATGAATTTGACACGATAGGGAAATCAGCGAGTGGCAAAGACCACAAAATCGATAGGAGAAGAAGCAAAAATAAATCCTCGTGAAGGGAGGAAAAGTAGTGAGGAACATCTAAACAAATTTATCGTAAGACGAAAGCAGTTGTCAGCCACCGCTGCACCCTCCATTGATGGAGTACAGGATATTTTCTCGTTTTACACCGTTCAAAGACATTAATTGGTCTCCGTTTTCTATTGTTCGTCTCTGTCGGTGGTATCCATAACTCCTCCCATATAGGTCCACAAACTGTCAATTAACTGGTGGATATCTTCGCCTTTAACTTCCATAAATCAAGTTTCTGTTTTCTTTAAATCTTGCAGTTTCGTGTTTAATTCGATTGTGTAAAGACGTATATTTATGGTGGAGACGAATGATCCTCTTTTGTTTTCGTTGCCTTTTTTTACCCCCCTCTTTGTTTTAGTAGTTTAAATTGTGTTTGGAAAAGAAAATATTGCTTTCTATAGAGGAATTTGTTAAAGTTTAAGGTGACAATAATCACTTGGAGACGTTTAAATGCTATATTTTATCCTGGCTTTTTTTTTCTACTTGTAAGCTCTTCTGTATGAAAAATGCTGCTTCTGCGGATGTTGCACGCTGGAAATTCTTCCATGGATCTTAGATATAAACGAGCTAATTTCAGTTAAAAATAAATAGAAAAGTATATGTTTTTCTGGCAATTTTTTTTAGATCTTTGAAGCGATTAAATCTCTGTTCAACTTGTTTTCAACAATAAAGATTTAGGTCACGATGATCTGAGATTAATGATTGAGGGAGAAGCAACAAGAAAATCAAGTCGTTGAATGGAATTCTATCGTTGAAAAACATGGACAAATTATTGTTTCTAGATGTGTATTAAAGCATATTAATTTTATTTTACACTTTAATATCTTTTTTATTTTTCTACTTTTTAAAGATAATCAGTAAGTTAACTATGAGCCATCTCCATCATCATTTTTTGAGCGAGAGAGAGATTACGTTTGATCATTCTTGCAAATCTTAATAATCGTTTACATAAATAGCGAAAGAAACTAGTTTAGAAAATTTTATTGTGAAGCTATAAAAGATAATTTTTCAATGTAAAAGTCGTAATAAAAATTTTTATTGCTTATATATTGCAAATGCGATATATAGCGGTTTCAATATGTATTATGTACCTTTTCATGATTATGAAACGGTTATAAAATACTGTAGTAGAAAATTGTTATTGTGTTCACTATAAACTTTCACAGTAATAAAATAACAATCATACGATCACAATTTAAATAAAGAGAATAGAAAACAGCCAAAGGGTAAAGGATGGAGGAGAAAGAAGAAGAGGAGGAGAAGGAAGAGAAAGAGAAAAATGACAAGAATGGATAAAACAGGTTAAAGAAACACAATTGTATGAGATGGATTCTTGAACTAGAATACAGGACAAGTGTGTTTTTGGATAGTTGTATAGTGGACCTGACGTAGCAAAGAGCGACAGTGTGTAAAGAACTATGGGCATATTGTACTGGTACACACTCGCTTACAGCTAGAAGATTTTGGTTGATGCCAAAGTGTTAGAAAAAGCTGAATTGGTTACTTTCATCTTTGTATCTACTTCTGTTCTGTTATCCGTTTCCAATAAAAAGAATTGAAAATATCCGAAAATATACTTTTTTATAACTAACAATCGATAAAAAAGCTGAAGTCTTGTTGAGATTAGAATCATAAATTAGATAGAAAAATTGAACATATTTTCATTCGTTGAAGAATATATATAGTAAAAGAGGATATATATATTGAAGAATATATCTTAAAAAACCATCAAAAATTTAAAAAAATACACGAATTAGATAGAAGAAATCTTTAAGAAACTATTCAGCATCAACGAGAGGATCTTTAAATTATGTTTTTCTATTTTGTATGGCATTTTTCGTAATTAAATTGAATTCTTTCAACAATTTAATGTTGAAATCGTGTAAAATAATTTATAAATTTTTTACTTAAGTTAGTTATTATGTTGCTTTTAATCCGACGATAAATGTAGTGATGAAGAAACTAATTTCATTAATTAATGAGATATAAGTTCAATGTTTGGTTGGAAGAATATATTAAAAGTGAAACACAATTAATTAGTGTATGTTAGAAATTCAAATATTTATTCAAAGATTTAACAANATTTAAAAAAATTCCTTTAAAGATAAAATTAATTAATTAATTAAATTATTTGTTAATTATCTTCTGAGTTTAGCTTCATAAAAGTGTAAAGAAGAGATACAAAAAGTGTAATTTCATTCGTTAAAAAAAAAATAAGGAAATCAAGTAGAAATGATGACGAAAAATTAAAGCCTTTACTCTTCTTACACTTTAAATACGATAAAGTAAAAAAAAACTAAAAATAAATTAAGTTTTTCGTGAGAAATTCAACTTACTTTTGTGATCGTGTCTTCCATTTCTGGCTCTCACAACTAAAAGTGCAATGAATGCACCCAAGATGAGCATGATCATGACTGTGATAATGCCTGCGACTATCGGTCTTAAATCCACTTCCCATTCGTAATCTGCGATAATAAAGATAAAAATAAAATGTAGCTCTGATAGTGTTCAATGTGTAGATATTTCTCTATTATAGAAAAGTAGTATCGAATAATTGCAATTTAAAAAAAAATGGCATGAAGTTTCTTAGATAAAATTTTACAAATTTTAAAAAACGGATAGTTTAATTAGTTTAAACAGCTCCAGACTCCATTTAATTAATATTTTAGTGGGGTATTCATCATTTTTTGCGCACGCAAAAAATGAAGAGATTATACGAAAAACACCTGTCAGTTGATAAGATGGAATCTTGTTAGAATCAAAGAGTTTATCATTGAAAAATGGAATTTCTAATATTTATAGATCGTACTTTCAATCTAACGTAAGATAGATTAGAAGAAATATTTGTGAATTTTAGATATTCATTAGTTACTTATACGAATTAAACTTTCGATCCGATGAAGATGAGTCATTATTATTGAAAGTCTGGAGTTTGATGGATGAGATTCGGTTTAGTGGAACTCCACCTACCTCTTTGTGTCAGACTAGTTGGAGCTGACAGGGTAGTGGTCGTCAGCACAACTGATGGACTTCTACCTTTGACATTAGCCGAATAAATGACAACGGTATATTTTGTACCTGCAGTCAAACCTCTTGCGAATAGAAGGGGGTTATCCGATGTCACATTCGAGCGAAGTTTATTGTGTGCCATGTCGTACACTTCCATAATAAAGTGCTGTACTAGTCCACCGTCATAACCCTCTACGCATTCCACGTCTATAGAATCTTCGGTCTGGTTTGTGACGGTACAGTTTTTCAATATGGCAGGTGGACCTGAAACGTATATAGGTAGGTTTAATACAAAAAAGAAATGCATCGTGTCATTGTTCTTTTTTTGTTATATATGTATATGTATATATATATATTACTTAAACATACTACCCAAAATAGTTAGAACAATAACAACTGGCAAAGTAACGCACCCGGGATATACCTGCTGGGATGACGGTGTAGACGCATGGTTCTTTCTGTGTCCCGACACTGTTTCTTCCCCAGCAGAAGAGGGTCCCGTAGTCTCTTTCTGTTCTCGGTATGTACGTTGCTATACTTTTGGTCCCGTGGTTGGAGAAGTTTATCATCTTTAGAGCATCCCCCGAATTGCTATGCCTCCAACTGAACGTCACCTCTTGAGGATCTGCTTCAACTTCGCATTCTACTTGTACCATTTCGTGTCGAGCTGCACCGTACAGCATTTTCTGTCCGGATGTGCACACGGGTGTATCTACAAGGTATTGGTATCATATACAGTTGCCATTGTTTACTATAAAAAAAAAGACCTCGTCTTTAAGAGACGAGAAGCCATTAATGGGGTACGTCAGTAGAAGAAAAATGGCATCACGTTTAAAAGTAACCGAAATTTTCTTCATTCGTGACGTTATCTTTGATATTATTAAGCTTAATCTAGTGTAAGGTTCTCAATAATGTCGGCTATGAATGGTGTACGGGGTATCAAAGAGATTAATTCCAACGTGCAGTTACTTACAACTCCTTTGAGTAAGACTAAAATAAATGTTTATCGTTTAAATTCTATCGATATCATTCAATAAAGAACTTGTATAACATATATCTTCATCTAGAAAGAATTATTCCCCTGATTCCTGATGCCGTTTATTCGTAACTGCGGTCAACTTTTATCCTAATCCACGATAGAACATAAATTCATGTAGCAGTATAAGTTTAAGAGGAAAAAAAACACATTTGTTTCAGCAGATTAATTGTTATTTTGGGATAAAAAAATAGGATTTATTTATTACTATGATTAAGAATTTAAGGACTTTTAAGGAAGTAAAGAAGTAAATTTATTCAATAGTTTAAATAGGGATTTCTAGAGGATGAGAGTTGCCATGAATTTTAGTGGTTTCTTTTCGAGAATAATAAAAGTTTTAAGGATTGTTTAGGTACATTATGATGATTTTAGAATTTATTTATTGCAATAATACTAGATTAAGGGGTTATTTAGTAGCGCAATAACCAAAGTTCTCTCCTTAAGAATAATGTCAAATGTTTATCAATTCTATTCAGGTAGCGCGAAGTACGAATTTAAGGTTACTTTTGCCAATAAAATAAGGAATTTTAGGCTCCATAACGATAGTAATTAATGTACAAAAGGGAATGGGCATCTTAACCATCAAATTAATTACATTTAAAAGATATACATTAATTTATACGTCTTTAAAGACTAAAAATCAGTGGACATAAATAATATTAGTAGTCTCTTAAATAAATAATATATTAATTACAAAGTAAACTTTATAAAACGTTTAAAAAATAGATAAAAAGTAATGCATAAATGACAAATTGATAGTTTACTTACGTTGCACCCTGAGATAAACACTATTGCTTTCTCCCTGACCTTCAGTATTGGTGGCCGTGCAGGTGTATTTACCTCGATTCCACCTATTGACCCTCTGAAGCACTAAAGACTGATTACTGACGATAACGCCCGAAGATGTGTTAGTGTGAAGTTCTTTGTCTTCAAACTTCCAACCAGTTTCTGTTACCCAGGGATTAGCTCTTATATTACATTCGAAATAAACATCATTACCTTCTTGGATGTTTGAATGCCTTAGGTTACTGCCCAAGTGCAATCTCAATTGTGGCAAATCTAAACAAAAAAACCAAATTGAAATTATATTGGATCAAGGAAAGGAGAGATAAAAATCACTTTTTTTGTTATGATAATAAAGTATAGAAGACGAAATTGCCATTCGTATAAATATCAATTTTCAGAAAGTATACGTATATAAAACTTTTTCAGGTTTTGATATTTATGAAAGAAAAATAATATATATTTTTCATATTGAAACGAATGTTTCTGTAAAATATAATTTTTTTCCCCTTATTCTTCTTCTTCCTGTTATTTAGTTGTATATATATATATATGATATAAAATTACTCATTCAAATATAATATTGAATTCAAAGTAATAAAAGAATTTCTAACATTTCTTCCATCTCTAAGACATATTACAAGGAAGAGAAAAAAAGGTAAAATACCTTAAAGGTGTGCAAAAAAATTTTTTTAATTTAATTGTATAGCGAATAACGTGACTGTAGAAACGTTCATAGTAAAGACAATTCTTGATTAAATCTTCTACAAAGACGTGATCCAATGTGTTACTCCATTTTCGAACGAGGAGCGTGTCTGTCTGTGTGTGTTAGATTAGTTTAAATCTATCAATAATGCAAAATAAAAGAACTTTTCCTTTTGTAATGCAACACTTTCACAACTTAAATTTACTCAGAAATACGAGAATAAAAGCATTTGAATAAAAGAGAAAAAAAAAGGAATTTAGCCAATATACTGATATGTATTAGAGGAGAACATCAGTCAGATTTTTTTTTCTCTTTTTTGGGGGGTCATATCTATATCGACTTTTCACTAGGAAATTTTAAGCAATTTAAAAATGAACCAGATTATTTTCCTAGTAAAATATTTCGTGTTCGCTTTTCCAGTTTCTAGCCATTACTACTAGTTTCTCCTTATCTGGTATTTTTCTAATAGCATCAGTTAATATTCTATCCCATTCTGGTAGGGAATGAGAATCTTCTCCGCCCTGAACTGTGTAATTACTGAGTTTACAGAAGACTGTCACATTTACTTAATTACCTGTCTGCTAGTGTGTTGCAAATCGTATTTTCTACCCTTTTTTTAATTCCTAAATGTGTTGAGTAACTAACCAGACATGTCTTCGAATGTAGATACTGCATATACATACGCATTCACACTTAAATGTAAATTTTTTTTCTAAATATATGATTATTTTTGTAAAAATTTATGTATTGATGTTTTCTTTATAGTTAAAATTTCATGTTTTTTTTAAACTCTTGTTCCTTTAGCTGCTCTGAAGATCCCTCGTATTGCAATCATCATTTTTCTTTGTGTAAACAAGCTGAATTGTTTGTAGAGTGATTTATTCAGATAAATATCCAATAATTATATCATGGATAATGTAATTATCTAATACATATGATGATAATCACTCAAGCATGGATTTGATTGGAGTCGTATATTATTGTAAATTATCTACATCGAAATGAGCATAATTATAACAAAGCTGTTTGATTTGCTCTCTAGGAACTTGAGAAATGGTTCAATAAATGAATTCCTACTTAAGAAAACGTCATAGAATATGGAAATAAAGCAAAACGGTCCTAATTTTTTCTAAAGATAATTTTCTAAGAATTAAAGCTTATCCTTTACAAATTAGACTTCAGTTATAAATGGCAACGATTTAAACGATGAAAATAAATCAAACAGCAGTCTTTTACAATTTGAATGATCATGATAAAGGATAATCTATATGCTAAGAACACGCAACCAATTTAAATGAATTTATACAGTTGGACGAAGCATAAATTTTCGTTTAAGATGCATATTTAATTTGCAATTTAATAGTTTACGTTCGAAAAAAAATGCAACAAAAAGAAGACTTTTTTTTACGAAAAAATAGAAATTATGTAATTTTAAACTTGTATACAAATTTTCTTTACTTTCTTGAAATTAATAAAGTATATATATTCATATTTTCTATAGCTTTCCACGTAACTTTCAATCCATAGGGCATGTTTTTATGCATATTATTATTGCAAATTTATTTTACAAATTATTATAAATTTTTTTTTCCTTCAAAAATTAATTATTGTTTTTGCTCACACAGGCTTCTATTATATTCAAAACGGAATTTCTCGTTTTTTAAAAATAGAAAAAAATAAAATAAAATCCCTTTCTAATCGTGTTTCGGACGTGTCTGTTNGATTTCGTGAAAGTTTAAATATATAGTACAATAAACCATTATAAAATGTTAATTTCAATTATTCAATTTCAAGTAAATTAAGATTGGCAAGATAATTAAAATTAAATTGATTTACTCTTCGATATTAATTAATTTCAAAGGAGTTTTAATCGATAATGAATTGAATTTTAAAGAGTTGTATTATTATTACAATTCTTCAACAAAATTTCAATTTTGCACGAATTTAATGATTTAAATTTCATTTTCTCAGATAATTTGATTTAATTTAAAATTTTCTGTAATGATTTTATTTAAAAATGAATGATTATATCTGATCAAATTTAACGTTGATTTATTATTGCTTAATTTTGATATCAGAAAGAGTATTTTAAACGTGGAAAAATAAAATTTATCTGATTGATAATGATTAGAATGGGTAAAATTATCGAAGATTAAAGTATTAAAATAGTATTTTCGCTGATGGTGATGATGCTTAAAGGTTGAATACAATTGAAAAATTCGATTTCCTTTACTGATGATGCTTAGAAAGTTAATTACAATCGAGAAATCCTGTTACTTTTGCTGTTGATGATGATGTTTAATGAGTTAAAAATAATTTAAAATGCAATTAGCTTTGCTGCTGCTGATGCTTTATAATCTGGATATAATTGAAAAACTTGATTATTTTCGATGATGATGATGATTAAAGATCCGAATCTAATTAAAAATTCGATTGCCCTTACTGATAATGATACTTAAAGTTTTTAATTGTCATCAGCAGTAAATATAATTCAATTACGTTGAACTTTTTAATTACCATCATCAAAATAATCCTCTTTTTAAAATTATATTAAAGGCTGAACGTAATTAAAAACTTTGAATTGTACTTAATGACGATAATGGTTAGAAAATTGAACACAATTATAAAAAAAGCCATTATTTTTGCTGATGATGATATTTAAAAAGTCGAATATATAATATATAATTGAAAAATTGGATTCAAAATACGGTCGAAAGAATATATGAAAGTAAAAAAAAAGAAAGAAAGAAAGAATTCTTTATTCTTGCAAATGAAAGTTGAAAAATTTCAAAATTGGCTCAACTAAGAAAGATCTGACTCTTGGGAATAACAGATGGATCAAACCAATTGAAAGATGTGGAACCATTTTCTTTTCCAAGTTTTATTTATTCAATCAGGCATCTGGTTACTTGAGCTGATTGATTTCATGTATCGAAAATCGTGACCCAGATTTCTGCTTCATTTCTTAGAAGAATAAGTATTTTTACTACTAAAGACATTTCGAAAAATTCTTCAGTTAGAATAAATCTTTAAACTTCAATTAAAATTGTTTGAATAGAATCATTTTCTTCGATAATATAACGAAAGTTTCTGAAAAGTTCTCCAATTCGTGTAAGATGATACCGTACATTTAAAGCTAATTTCAACTGAAAATATCCAGTTCTTCAAAGTTTAATCATCATTATAACAATTAATTTATCGTCATTTATCGTTAATGCATTGATTTAATTGCGTTTTGCTGCGACGAAGTATAATTTGGGGGTGTTTTACTGTTCAATTATTTTCATGAGGGGGTGATGAGTGCGTTTATGCTTGTATGGAATGTTACCGAATAAATTGGTGATAACATAACGAAACTTATATAAATTTATATATTAATATAACCTTTTAAATTCTTCTACTATAATATTTTGAGAGAGGGTTTTACTCCTATTCTTTTTACAGTAGATAAAAGTATTATAGAAACGCGTGTCTGACTTTTTTAGACTTCACTGAATTGATTCATTGGATCACTAATCCTCTTAAAAAATCGATAGAACGTTGAATTGATATGGAAATTTCCATTTTCGGATAGAATAGACGACTTCGTTAAAGAACTCAATAGTAAATAAGTATGTATTCAACCCCCCCCCCTCTCTCTCTCCTACTGCAACAACCCATATTCGTAAAGCTTATTTTTTACAGTTCTATTTCGTCACTCCCTTTTTCTGTAAACAGGAGTCAGACGAATGTCTTCCAAACTTTGTCTGACACTTTCTAAGGCAACAATCTTATGAAAAGACAAAAGGGAGAAGAAGAAATCCTCTACTTCTAGACCTGAGGGACGATTCTCTTCTTCCAGATCTAAGATACCTATAGGGAAAAGAAGGGAAAACAATAAAGAAAAAAAAAGACACCAGGATAAACGAAGTGCAAGCAGAAAAAAAAGGACATTCGTGTATCTCTCACAGGGAATATTTTTTCTTATTTAACCCGTCACTGTAACCACCCATCTTCTGTCTGGGACACCTCATCTCCTCCCATGATATTTGTAGAATTTCGTGGGAATCGTTTATCTAAAAGATACTATGATATTTTATTTGAGATAAATATTATCGTTGTAATCAATTATTTAATGTGTTTTTCTGTAGAAAAATCGCAGAAAAATACATTTCATGGTTTAATTCTTCAATTAGAAAATAATATTTAACAACATTAATGAAACCGTGTAGCTGCACCTTTATTAAACTGTTTAAAAAATATTGAATTATATCAAGAATTAAGATAATATAATAATTATATAAATTTACTTTTAAAATTTAGAAATATTTTAAATTAAAAAAAAAACAAAACACAAAATAAAAGTTTATGAAAATGTTTAAAATTAATAAATTAAATTACATTGAAATTTATTATTTATATAAAAAAAACACTTAAAATATTTTTCGATTTTTTTAAAATAAAATTTTGCTATTTTATAACTTAGTCTTTTTATACATTTAAAAAAATAAAATTAATAAAAAAATACTTTTAACGCCTTTTATTAAAATGATTTCAACTAATTCAATAATCCTAACATAAAAAAACGTGTGTTTCTTGTATTTACATCAAAGAAAACTGAAGATTGAAAATAGAATTTTACATCTTTTTATACTTTAAATGGAAGCATTTTTCTAAAAAAATAAAATATATTTTTTATAATACCTTTAGCTTCTTTGTACTGTACTTTTTTTTAATTTAAATTACTGACTGTAAAAGTGTTTTCAACACATTTTTAAGTGAAGAAATTGAAAGGAAGATGTGTACTAAATGAACAAAGAAACTGGGGAAAAAATTGATATGAATGAATTATAATAAAATACCAAAAAATTTATACAAAAATTCAGCATAAAAGAAGATATTTTTGATATTGAAATTACCAAAAAAATCATATTTTTCTCCATTTTTTTCACTGTTAATTTTACATTAGTCAAAGAGTAATTAATTCAAAAATATAGTGTCTAGAGAGTAATTATTGAATGTTTCTTGGTGTGTATGCGAAAAGTTTTTAATTTAAATCACAAAAAAATTAGGAAAAAAATGTTTTCTTTTACTTCTTCCTCCTCCTCATCCCCTTTCTATCAGTAAAGAAGTCTTGTGATGGGAAAATTGTTCACGCTTACTATAAAGAACTAACTTCAGAGTTGAGGCTTTTTTTTATGGCTGAACGTAATTAAAAACTTTGAATTGTACTTAATGACGATAATGGTTAGAAAATTGAACACAATTATAAAAAAAGCCATTATTTTTGCTGATGATGATATTTAAAAAGTCGAATATATAATATATAATTGAAAAATTGGATTCAAAATACGGTCGAAAGAATATATGAAAGTAAAAAAAAAGAAAGAAAGAAAGAATTCTTTATTCTTGCAAATGAAAGTTGAAAAATTTCAAAATTGGCTCAACTAAGAAAGATCTGACTCTTGGGAATAACAGATGGATCAAACCAATTGAAAGATGTGGAACCATTTTCTTTTCCAAGTTTTATTTATTCAATCAGGCATCTGGTTACTTGAGCTGATTGATTTCATGTATCGAAAATCGTGACCCAGATTTCTGCTTCATTTCTTAGAAGAATAAGTATTTTTACTACTAAAGACATTTCGAAAAATTCTTCAGTTAGAATAAATCTTTAAACTTCAATTAAAATTGTTTGAATAGAATCATTTTCTTCGATAATATAACGAAAGTTTCTGAAAAGTTCTCCAATTCGTGTAAGATGATACCGTACATTTAAAGCTAATTTCAACTGAAAATATCCAGTTCTTCAAAGTTTAATCATCATTATAACAATTAATTTATCGTCATTTATCGTTAATGCATTGATTTAATTGCGTTTTGCTGCGACGAAGTATAATTTGGGGGTGTTTTACTGTTCAATTATTTTCATGAGGGGGTGATGAGTGCGTTTATGCTTGTATGGAATGTTACCGAATAAATTGGTGATAACATAACGAAACTTATATAAATTTATATATTAATATAACCTTTTAAATTCTTCTACTATAATATTTTGAGAGAGGGTTTTACTCCTATTCTTTTTACAGTAGATAAAAGTATTATAGAAACGCGTGTCTGACTTTTTTAGACTTCACTGAATTGATTCATTGGATCACTAATCCTCTTAAAAAATCGATAGAACGTTGAATTGATATGGAAATTTCCATTTTCGGATAGAATAGACGACTTCGTTAAAGAACTCAATAGTAAATAAGTATGTATTCAACCCCCCCCCCCCTCTCTCCTACTGCGACAA